TGAAAGTGAAGTTGCTCAGTCATGTCTGACTCTGAGACCGCATGGACTGCAGCCTACCAGGTTCCTCCGTCCATGGGATTTTCCAGGCAAGAGTACTGGAGTGGGGTGCCATTCCCTTCTCCGAAGAAATAAGCTAGAGAAAGACAAATATTATATGATATTATATATATGCAGAGTCTAAAAAATGATACAAACAAACTTGTTTACAAAATAGAAACAGACTCACAAATGGAAAACAAATTTAGGATTACCAAAGTGGAAGAGGAGGTATAAATTAGGAGTCTGGGAGTAACAGATACACACTACTACATATAAACTAGATAAACCACAAGGATTTACTGTATACTATAGTCAATATCTTGTGATAACATAATGGAAAAGAATCTGAAAAAATACATATGTATAAGTGAATCACTTGGCTTTACCCTTGAAAGAAACAAAATATGGTGGATCAACTACAGTTTAATAAACAAAAAAGAAAAAAAGTAAAAAGAAATGTGTAAAATTAATCTCCATTTATCCAACACATCTAAAATATTATCATTTTAGCATATAGTCAATATGAACAACTGAGATATTTTCTCTCTCTTTCATACTGTTTCCAAGCCTGTGTGTGTTTCACAGATCAATTCACTGCAGCCACACTCAAGTGCTGGACAGTCCTATACGGCCAGGGCCCTCTCCGCTGGACAGCACTGCTCTGGAACACCTTCTGCTCTTGGAACCAGAGCTCCAGGACTTATCCTCCCCCACTCTCTGGCTCACCCCCCTACCAGCCGGGTTCCTCTCCTTCAACTAACTGCATGTGCCATTCTGTATAAGCTTCCCTCATTCTTGAAAATATGAATGGAAAACAAACATTCAAATATCCTACAACTCTTAGTTGTAACACATCCCTAGGGCAAAGAAAGGTGAGGAACTGCTTACAGTCTTTAGAGAAAGGGCAGAATGAGTTGGTAAGGAGAATCAGACTGCATCAGATCTTGTTGGGGGACTTGAGGCTAATAAACAAGCTAAAACAAACCAACACTAAAGGTGTCAGAAGAAGAACAGAGGAAAAGAGAACCTGATGAACATCCCTTCAGGTGTCTTTGGCAATTCAGCCATGTGATTATTCTACTGAGCCATGAAAGAATGTTGACTGCAGGACAAGACATGAATTTAATTTTGGTCTGCCTGATGTTCCAGAAGCAAACGAGCAAAAGAAAAACTAACTAGCTGCCAATATTTAGAAATTAAGACATAACACTTACCAATGAATTTCTGGCATCTTTGGAAAAATGACAAGGGCCAGGAACAAAGTTTGGATGACAACAGTTGGTGGGATGGACTGCAGGTGCCCCCCAACCCTGACCCCAGAAGGTGCATGTGCTTTCTAACCGGCCACAGTCACCTTCTTCCAAGTCATCAAACAGCACTTATGCACCTGCTGACATGGCTCCCTGGCTTTTAGTTTGTACTTCTGCAGTATACATAACTTTGAGACATCAAGATAACTTTGAAATTATGACAGGGTAATGTTAAAAGCAATGCAGTTACATCGACTGGCAATGGGGAAATTTTTAGCCCAGGTAAAAACTATTATTTATCAGGTTTATAGTCTAGTGTGGTTTCAGTCTGGAGGGGCTTTGATCCTTTAGCTTATACTGGTAGAATAGTTGGTCCCAAATTCAGAGGCTGATGATTTTTCTTATCCATTAATTATCTGAGCAGCTCCCAAGAGCACACAACTGTGATCACAAACTCTTTCCAATCACACTGGCCAAAGTGGAAAAACAGTCCACCGACATCATTTCTAGAGTTATTGCCTCTTAACTTATTATGGCTTTGGAGTTGACACACTCAAGGGTTTAAATATGACAATCAGGAAATGAACAGTTTCGTCTTTGGCACCCCCACTTCAGCTGCTTGTGCCTTGAATTTTGTTTATTGACCTATGTCATGCTGTATTAAGTTATAAAGAGTTTATGAGCCATGGCATTGCATGTTTTATAGACCTATATATACATTTCATGTATTCTTTATAAAGTCAACATCTTTTATTTGAAAACATTTTGAGGACCAAAAGTTACTAGGTCAGAATAATTTTCTACTTCTAACAAGAAGTTCCTCTCAAAAGAAACAAAAAAAGTGACTCTATTCTTCCATGTGGCTTGCCATTTTGTTTTGGAACATCCCGGTAGCCTAAATCAGTCTTTATCTAGCCGGACAGTTTGCAAAGGAGCAGCCTCACTGCTCTGAGCCTCAGTTTCCCTGTATTTAGCATGGGGTAGAGACTGGAGTGGCCAATGTCAACATTACTTATTTGCACCAGAATCCCTTTCTTCAATTTGTTTTTTCTATGGCTGCACCACACATGGCATGTGGGACCTTAGTTCGACCAGGGATGGAACTCCCATCCCCTGCCCTGGAAGCGCAGAGTTTTAACCACTGGATCACCAGGAAAGTCCCCACTTTCTTTGATTCACCAGAAAAGGGCAGAGCTGCCTTGCTGATGGGGGCGGGTGTTAGGGCCTCAGCTGGGACACCACCCACTTACCCTCCTCACAGGCAGCCCTGGTTGGTCTGAACACAAATGCCCAAATGACAAGCTCATTCCTCTTCTAGGGTGCAGAATTTTTGAACCAGTCATTAAAATGGCCCAGGGCAGCGGGGCAGCCTCACAAAGATTTCCCATCACCTCTATCAGTTGCCTCAACAACCCAGGACCATTCTGTGATCCATTGTCCCCCATGCCCTTCTGCTCTCTGACCCCCACTCATCTACAAGCCCCACCTCCCTCCAGAAAGCTCTCTCAAACACCTGGGGTGTCCTGCCCCCATCCTGTTCTCCCCAGGTCCCTTCTCCAGCATGGAGCACTTAAGTCACAGGGACTTTAGTGAACACCTCGACAGGACGGCTGCACAGAGGAGGGACTCGCTGAGGGCCACGCGTCCCCATCACTGGTCTGCTGTTCTTCGCGGTGAGTCCAGAGCCTCCCCCTTGATTTCTGACTATGGCAGAGTCTCAAAGGTTTTTGACCTTTGAGGAGGTCACCTTCATCACACAATACACCCCTTTACAATGAGGGTACATCACTGAACTACCGGATCATCTTCCACAATAATAATTTTCAGAATAATTTTCTGCTTCTAACAAGACGCACCTCTCAAAAGAAACTTAAAGAAAATGACTCTATTCTTCCCCTGGGCTTGCCATTTTGTTCTGGAACATGCTGGCGGGGTGTGGTAGCTGAAATCTGAATGAAAGCAGAGAAAGGGGAGGCCCTGCGTCTATGGTTCAGTTGCTCATTTCAACAGGGGCCTTTTCATTCCATTGGTTGGCAAACCCTGTGAGGTTGCAATGCTTACTCCCAGCTCTGAGTGGGATTTACTTCACTTCAATTGAACTGAAAGAACAAAGGCCAACCCATGTTCAAGGCAGCAACGCCAAACAATCCTAGTAAAGTTCTTTTTTGAAAAAGTTGTTATGCGGTATATACAAGGGACTGAATATAACCCATATGATCAAACGCACCCCAAAGCACAGACATCTTTTAGGGAATGAGAGGAGCCAAAGCAGAAAGGAGAAAGTGGGGCTTAAGCCTCATGTTGGAGATGATGAGAACATTCCTGAATCTCATACACGTTTCAACAAAATACTTGCAGCAAATTTTAAGACTTTTAACCTGTGAGTTCCCAGAAAAATAAGACGTCTGCTGCTTGACTGCTTTGGGGTAAGTCCAGGACGGGACCTCTGGAAATGTGCATGGAGAAGGCCAGTGGGGCTCCAGGATCCTAGGGATTTGAAACTTGGTCCCTCGCTGCCCATCCCGGACAAAGACGCTCTCCCAGCAATTGCAGGGCTTGATTGGATGTGTAAAGACACCTCTGTAATGATCAGAAGTATTTCTGGGTTGGACTTAAGGGTGTGGAGGCTTAGCCTTGAGAGGCCTATGAACAGGCTGTGTCAATGATTATAAAACATTCCTGAAAACTGTGGGGAGGGGCTCGCTGTGGAAAGCAAATAATGATGAGTGTTTGTATGTTAAAAACAAAACCGTGGGGACCTGAATGGGCAGGCAACCTGAACAACCGGGGATATATGTTTACACATGGCCGATTCGTTTTGCAGTAGAAAATCACACAGCACTGTGAGGCCACCGTACTCCAACAAAAATTAATTTAAAAAACTAAACAAAATCAGGAGTGTCTCCTTATTTTAATTTGTGTCTTTCTAGACACCGCCTGCTCCAAGTCACATTAGGGGAATCCAGGCACCTGATGGAGAACAGACAAGCAACAACCCCCTAACTCCTGCCCAAGTTAAGAGCTGAGAAGCCTGACCACTCTCTCCCAGGCATGGAGCCAGGGGAGAGCCATGGGGACGGGAGCCCTGACACCTGGATTCAGCCGGTTCCATCGCGTGACCTTGGACCAGGTACATTCTCTATGAGCTTTGGTCTCTTTGTTCATAAAATTTGAGGTTGAAATTTCTTGTCCTGAAAAAACTAGCTTTTAGTACTTTTAACCCCTTGACTATAGGAAAAATACGTGCCCAGTGTAATAATACACAGCCCATTCAGGGGATGAGAGAAAACAGAAGACCCTGGGGACCACATGGCACCAGAGGTGGGGGGGGCGGGCACCCACGGAAGCAGAGGTACAAGAATGGAGCCCAGGGGGGCAGCCAGGGCTGAGGGGCTTGAAAGGAGCAAAGGGACCAGGGCTTGCTCACCTCCGACAACAGTCACGGCACAGCAGAGGGAAAGCACGGGGCCAGGAGCCAAGGGACACGCCTGGCTCTGTCGTGGAACTGGTTTTGTGACTTTGGGTGGGTGACTGAGCCTCCCTGAGTTTCCATTTCCTCATCTGTAAACTGTAGGCAATGGTTCCTACTTCAGAGGGATTTGCTCACGAAAGCTGCAGGCAAGCGCGGAGCGTCTACACAGCAGGTCATTCCCACCCAGACAGAAAGGAGGCCTTTCCCTACCTTGGTCTTGGTTTTCTTTCCTTCACAAGGATTTGGGCAGCTACAGACCCACAGAAGGGCCTGTCTGCACGGAGCTTGTCTCCCGGGGGACCCGCGTGGTAGTGGAGCCAAGGTTACATAGAGCAGATCCAGGTGAGAACAAATCCCAGGGCACATCGATGGGGCAGCGAGCAGAGGCCAGCGCAGGGTCGGACCCGGGCCCTGTGCCCACAGTTCCTGCTGGAATCCTGCTAATAAACAGGTCGGTCCACCTACGTACAGATTCAAAAGGACTGCAGAAGCCTGCCGAGCTGAGCGGCTGGTGCCGTCAGGCCACCGGCAGGCACTCCAGGGACCAGCGGAGGCTTGAGTGAGGTCCCCAGGGATCCGTGTAAGGAGTGGGATGGTACCCTGGCATCACCCTACACCCAGAGCCACCGCCCACACTGGAGAAACAGGCGCTGGTCGGCGGGTGTGCCAAGGTCTGCCGCGTCACCCAGTCCACTGTGGCCACAGACAGTCCCACACTTCCTCAACAGGTTTACCCAGGCCTTGGGATCAGATCTGACCACATCTGAGATGGTGATTTTTCCAGACAAGAGAGAGCTATGAAAGGCCAGCCAGCAGCAGGGCCCAGGGTGATGCCCAGTGGGGAAGGGTGTGGCGATAGCCACCATCTGCCCCAGGTGCCCCTGCAACCACCCAGTGTCCCAAAGGCCCCACTCATCTTCATTTCCTGCCAGTGCTAAATTAGACAAAACCCCTCCACTGCTTATTTATCCAAGCTTTGCTCAAAACATCTTTTTTCTCCTGTTTTAAAAGATAATTGCGTAAAATTATAATCACAAAACTGTTCCCGGCCTTAACACTATATAAAGAGGTAATTGGTATGACAAAATTAGCAGAAAGGAGAGGATACAGAATGAGGCAGAAGGGGGACTTCCCTGGTGGTCCAGTGGCTAAGACTCCACGATCCCAAAGCAGGGGGCACAGGTTCCATCCCTGATCAGGGAACTAGACCCCACATGCTGCAACTAAGACCCAGCACACCCAATTAAATGAATAAGTATACATATATTTTGAAAAGAATTACACAGAAGCAGTTTTTTTTTTTCCTGTCATGCCGCATGGCATGCAGGATCTGAGTTCCCTGACGAGGGATCAAATCCACGCCCCTTGAAGTATGTCATCCTAACTGCTAGACTGCCAGAGAAGTCCCAGAGTTATAATATGTTACCTAAATAACGCTGGGATTAATCCAAACTTAATTGTTACAAATTAATATGTTAATTGCAATCTTCAGGGCAACACTAAGAAAGTAACTAAAAAAGAAACATGAAAAGGGGATTAAAGAAAGTAACTAAAAAAGAAACATGAAAAGGGGATTAAAATGGTACACCAAAAAGTATCTATTTAATATAAAAGAAGTCAACATTGGAGGAACAGAGATGCAAAAAGGCATAAGACATACAGAAAATACACATCAAAGTGGCAGATGTAAAGCATATATTACCAGCAATTACATTAAATGTCAATGGATTAAACACTCCAGTAAAAACGATTTGGGCAGAAGAAAAGAATTTCTGATGATCTAACCATATGCTGTCTGCGATGGTTAATTTTGTATGTAACTTGATTGGACTAAGGCACACCCTGAAACCTGGTAAAATATCATTTCTGGGTCTGTCTGTACAGAGGTCTGCAGAAGAGATCAGCATTAGGATATGCAGACTGAGAGAAGGCTGAGTGCTGAAGAACTGATGTTTTCCAACTGTGGGCCTGGAGAAGACTCTTGAGAGTCCCTCAGACAGCAAGGTGATCAAACCAGTCAATCCTAAAGAAAATCAGTCCTGACTATCCACTGGAAGGACTGATGCTGAAGCTGAAGCTCTAATACTTTGGCCACTTGATGTGAAGAGCAGACTCACTGGAAAAGTTCCTGATGCTGGGGGAGATTGAGGGCAGGAGGAGAAGGGGACGACAGAAGTTGAGATGGTTGGATGGCATCACCGACTCAATTGATGTGAATTTGAGCAAATTCCGGGAGATAGGGGAGGACTCGGAAGCCTGGCGTGCTGCGTCAGTTCATGGGGTTGCAAAGAGTTGGACATGACTTAGAGATTGAATAACAACAGCAGGGTAGACTGAATAAATAGCTTCACATGTGTGAGTAAACACCATCCAATCTGCTAAAGTCTTGAACAGAACAAAAAGGTAGAAGAAGGGCAACTTTGCTGTCTCTGTTTGAGTCGAGATATTCATCTTCTCCTGCACTCAGACACTGCTGCTCCTGGTTCCTGGGACTTCAGACTCACACTAGTACTTCCACCCCCGCTCCCCACAACCTCCTGATTACAGGGTCTTTGGATTTGGACTCACCGTCACCAACTCCCCAGATTCTCTGAGTTTTGGATCTGGACTGAACTGAACCTCTTGCTTTCCTGGTTCCCCAGCTTAGACTGCAGATTGTGAAACTTTCTTGGTCTCCAAAATCACGTAAGCCAATTCCTGCAACAAATCTCTTCATATGTCTAGATCTATATTTATATCTATGTTTTACTGGTTCTGTTTGTCTGGAGATAACTCTATCCATAAGAGATTCATTTTCTCTTCAAGGACACATAGATCGAAAATAAAAGAATGGAAAAGGTTATGCAAATAATATCCAAAAGAGAACTGGTAGGGCTACCCTAATGTCAGACAAAATGGACTTTAAGACAAGTTACTAGACCAAGAACATTTATCATGATCACAGGACCAACCCATCTAACAACAGAGCCTCCAAATACATGTCACAAAAACCAACAGAATTAAAGGGAGAAATAGAAATTCAACAAAAACAGTTGCAGATTTCAGTGCTCACTTTCAGTAATGAACAGAATAATTAGAAGATGAACAAGGAAATAGAAGACTGACTGACACTAGGAACCAACAAGACCTGACAGATACCATAGAACACCCCACCCAACAGCCGCAGAATGCATTCTTCTTAAATGCATGTGAATATTTTCTGAGAAAGATCATATCTTAGGTCATAAAACAAGTCTCAATACATTCAAAAGGATTAAAATCACAACAGATGAAATTAGAAATCAGCTGTAAGAGAATAAGGAAATTCTATATATGTGGAAATTAAACAATATACTCAAGTAACCAATTAATCAAAGAAGAAATTATAAAGGAAACTAGAAAATAGTTTGAGATAAATGAAAACAAAAACATAACATGCCAAAATGTATGGGATGCTGCTAAGGCAGTGCTTAGAGGGAAATCTGTATTTGTAAAATGGTTATATTTAAAATAAATGAGGTTTCAAATCAAAAGCCTAACCTTTCACCGCAAGAAATTTTGAAAACAGCAAACTAAACCTAAATCAAGCAGAATAAAGGAAATAATAAAGATTAGAGAGGAAATAAATAAATTAAAGAAGAGAAAACTGAGGAAGTTGTTTCTTTGAAAACATAAAGTTGATAAACCTTTAGTTAGACTGAATTATAAGAAGACTCAAATTACTAACATCAGGAATGAAAGAGAAGACATGACTACCTACTTTACATAATTTAAAGAATAAAAAGAACTATGAGAATTTATATCAACAAATTAATATTAAATTAAATTAATTATTAATTTGTTGATATACAGAGAACACTATGAAAAACTATATAACAACAAATTAAATAACTTAGATGAAAGGACAAATTCCTAGAAAGACACAAACTACTGAAACTGACTCAAAAAGAAATAGGAAATCTGAATAGCTCTATAATGAAAAGGCAGAATTAGTTTTAAAACACCACCCTAAAATTCCTAACATGAGAAGTTCACAACTAGATGACTTCACTTGTGAATCTCCCCATTGTTTTTTTTTTTATTTTTTTATTTTTTTTAATCACAACCATAGTGTATCTTTTTTTTTTTTTTTTACATGTATTCCCCATCCCGGTCCCCCCTCCCACCTCCCTCTCCACCCGATCCCTCTGGGTCTTCCCAGTGCACCAGGCCCGAGCACTTGTCTCATGCACCCAACCTGGGCTGGTGAACTGTTTCACCCTAGATAATATACGTGTTTCAATGCTGTTCTCTTGAAACATCCCACCCTCGCCTTCTCCCAGAGTCCACAAGTCTGTTCTATACATAGGAGTCTCTTTTTCTGTTTTGCACATAGGGTTATCGTTACCATCTTTCTAAATTCCATATATATGTGTTAGTATACTGTAATGGTCTTTATCTTTCTGGCTTACTTCGCTCTGTATAATGGGCTCCAGTTTCATCCATCTCATTAGAACTGATTCAAATGAATTCTTTTTAATGGCTGTCTCCCCATTGTTAAAAAAATTAACACCAATACTTCACAAACTCTTCCAAAACATAGGAGAGATTGCTAGTGGCTGGGAGGAAGGAGGAGTTGGGATTATAGAAATGTTCTGAAATTAGATGGTGAATCATGGTTACAACACTGTATATACTAAAGACCACGTATGCTTTGAAAGGGTTAATTTTCAGGCATATGAATCATATCTCAATTCTTAAAAAGTAAAAAAAAAAAGTAATGGTCTTATTAAAGTTAGGGACACTATTAAATTTAGTTGATTAAAGGAATTAGTTAACCACAGCATGTAGTCTGTTTGTCCAGAGCAGACCTTCGCTCCTCAAGACACAGGGCAAATGCCAGCTCATCTCACAATGACTAACCCTGTATTCGTATGAGAAGCCCTGTTTTAGACTGACGGTGCAGAATCTGTTTAAAAATAAGTTAGAGGTAACAACTAAAGTAACTTGATATTGAAAGAACAAAATAGCCTATCAAATGAGAAAAGATGTGCTTTTATTTTCAAGCTAAAAAATCTCTGAAGATCTTTTGAATAAAAAAGAAAAAAAAGACCTGACTATGAGAAGGAAATGGCAACCCACTCCAGTATTCTTGCCTGGAGAATCCCATGGACAAAGGAGCCTGGTGGGCTATAGTCCATGGAGTCACAAAGAGTCAGACATGATTGAGTGACTAACACACACACACACTTTATGAAGTGACTGTTACCCAGCTAAATAAAGTATTTTCTTTTTCTTGTCCCTCAACTCAAAATACATTTCAGGTGCATTACAGAATCGAAAAAAAAAATGAGTAATAAGACTAGATGAAAGGACAAGCATTCATCCAGTTCATCTCTGGATGGGAAAGGTCATCAGCATACACCCCAATCCAAAAAATAAAAAATAAAAAAGAATCAAAAAGGAAAAGACTGATAAATTTAATTATATTTAAAAGTAATTGAAGTATTTGTACATTAGCCACATCATAAACACAATTAAAAGGCAAAGTAAAAGGGTGGTTTAATATTTGCTAGGAATTTGACAAGAAATAATATACTTATAT